GTGTGTGTGTGTGTGTGTGTGTGTGTGTGTGTGTGTGTGTGTGTGTGTGTTTGTGTGTGGTGTGTGAGCTGGGCAGCGGGAGGCTTTCTGAGTGCTAAATGAGATGACTTTTTTTTTCTTTTTAAAATGATTTCTCTGTATACTGAGTGTCTCCTACCTGTGTGTGTGTCATGGAGGTCAGAGGAGGGCGTTAGATACCCTGGAGCTGGAGTTATGGGCAGCTGAGAGTCACCTCACGTGAGTGCTGGGAACCAAACTCAGGTCGTCTGGGAGAGAAGGAAGTGCTCTTAATGTTGTCCCATCTCTCCACCTCCTTCTTACCTTACAACTTTTATTACGCTGGCTTATGCAAGGTCATTTTTAGGCGATAACATGTTTTGAACATATTCTCTTCCTCACACACTCCTACCCACCCTATTCCTTCTCACCACCACCTTCCACGGCCCTCTTTCTTCTTCTAGATGGTTTCTTTTCTGTTTTCACATTATCTATACATAGATAATTCTTGTGGATTTATAAAGTCTAGGAACAAAGGAGAGAGAATATGCAATATTTGTCTTTCTGAAACAGATGAAATTTTCTTAACATGATTATATGTAGTTGCATCTATTTTTCTGTAAACAACAGAACTTTATTTTTCATTATGACTATATATACATACACATATATATACACATATGGATTATCTATCTATCTATCTCATATTTTCTTATCCATTCCTCTGCTGATAGAAACTTACAGCATACCTATTGTGAACAGTGCTGTAACAATGATGTGTGAGCATCACTGTAATATGGTGACCTGGAGTCATCGGGTAAAAATAGTCAGGGTGGTAGAGGTGGTGGCTCTTTTTTTCCTTTGAAGCTGTGTAAAATAAGTTAATGTTTTCAAAAATCATTCCATACACTATCGAGGCCTTGAATGTTAGAATTGGAAAAGAAAAATTAAATTTTTGAGATTCTTTAGTTGGATCCTCTAATTTTACTGATTGGGAATTTCAGCTTGGAGGCATGGAGTGACTTGCCTGTGGCCAAATTCTTTGCAGAGGCAAGAGTAGACACTGGCTCTGCCTTGTGTTCTGTGTTTAAGATGTGTTTCCTGAATCCTTGCATCCTATATGGGTTTTATTTTTGCTCAATCAGCTCCACTGTGCTTTCGAATGCCATGGTCAACTAAAGGTATTCTAAAATCCAATATTCTTTTAGCTATTTCTTCCCTTTTCTCAAGAAAACACCTTCCTAAATCTTCCCAATGCTGCTGGACTGGGCAGTGGCCTGAAAGGCAGATTGGATGAGAAGGATTTGGTTCATGAGGACACTTTATTATTTGGGATGCCAGCTTCTTAACACAATGGTCCATTTTTTTTTTTATAAATGTAGGGTATGATTCTTTGTAACCATGAGATAAGTACTCTATTAAGAGTTGATGCTTCTAACCACTCTTTTCCCTCATACAGCTCATTAGTTGGCCAATGGATCCACCTAAATTTTGATTTTTTTTTTGGTGCTTTTGTCTCACCCCATAAGGAAGATATTAATATGTATAAATGAATTGATATTTCATTTAAACTCATGAAATCTTACGAGAATCTTGTAAATGAGATCAGAGAGTCAAAGGGCAACTATAACTTAGGTAATTCTCACCTCATTTCCCTTCAAAATGACATTGCACTCTCTTCCTGTCCGGTCTACACCCTCAGAACTGTGGGTTAGCAATGCCGGTCTTTCTGAGGTTGATCTGTCTTCTTCTAATCCGTTCTGTATTCCAACTAAAACCATGTTTTAAATTTCACTTTCTTACTCAATAATCTATATGGCTCCACAATGCCCCAGCGCCTCCACCTGGCTTCGTAGATATTCTGTAATAGGGCAAGTTTCATTATCCGGCCTTCTGTTTATTCCTTCTAACACAAGCTCAGCCATGACAGATTAGCTCTTCACTGCTTCCCAGCGTTCCCTCCACCTCCACACCTAGGATCTCCCCACCCCCTCTTGCCTCGTTTGTGTTCTACTTCATCCATGAAACTCCCCTCGGCTTGTTTTGGCCGTATAGATCTATCCATTCTCTGAATTCTCTCTCACTGCATTTCACAAAGTATTCTAGGTTATGTCTTTTGGAGTTTAGGCTGTGGCAGAGATTTTACGTAGCTCAGGCTGGCCCTAAATTTAGTCTTCTTGCCTTAGCCTTCTGTGCCTTGAGATTATAATCACACACCACATCAGCTCATAGTAGAATTTTATATTCATAGTTGCAACACATGTGAAATATATTTGATAAATATTTTCCAACCTAATTAAACTACTTGGAGTGACCAATTCTTCCATAACCAAGTGACCTTGAGTCTAGGCAATGGTGGAAAGAAACCAAGGTTCAGAGAGAAGGGTCTTACCTGGGCCACATAGCTGGTCAGTTATAAAGCCAGGTACTAACATCTTGTTTTGAATTTTATTCCTGCAATGTAG